GTTCGAATCCTTGTCTTTTCGGCCGTGTGGGCGTTATAATGTGACATGCAATCCCACTATTCGTTGGTAAAAGAGTAGCCCAAGAGTTGGGGGTGGGTGATGATGACTGTCTGCCTTCTTTCTAGTGTTTCACTGCTAAATTGGGAACGGCTGGCGCACATAGCCCTCGTGTAGTTTTACGGGAAATTCAAAACAAACAAATCTATCGTAAGGCCTGTTAACAAACATAAACGGTAACCCTAATAAGTTAACTTAATAAATAAAGAACAATTAATGGCGTTAATGCTAATTGATAAGACTAATAAATCATGGTTTAGTATATGATAAGCTGTTACAGAGTTCATAATGATTAGCTGAGCTTGTCTAATGGTTGGCGTGTCCGTCTTGTAAATCCAAGAGTTCAGGGTTCGCGTCGAGGCACCACAAAAACGTGCTACGCACTTTGTGGCTCGTGCATAACAGTGACGGTCAAATTCTACTATTTGGTGAAATAAGATTAGCCCTAAAGTTGGGTGGGGACGCTTTTTACTAGTAGCTTTCCGTCTAGTCCATGGGTTACCAACAAGGGGTGTTGGCACCTTCCTGCGGATGCGAAATGAGGGTCCAGGGGGTGCCTATACAAGGTCCGTTTTCCCCCAAATGTCACTAAAGTACTGTATTTCAGGTTGTTGGGTTTAGGCATTTGATGCAATTTAGTAACATGCAAAAGGAAACAGTCTGTGGTTTGATATTTGATGATTAAGGAAGAAAGAAATGAACGCGCTTAGAGTGGATACAAATAAAAAACAAAAAAGCTACAAATTGAAGTGTAATCACGAAAGTTTGAACAGGTCGTGGTATTCTGTAAAGAAAAGAAAATTAATCCCATATGTGGTAGAACGAACAGTGTTGAATTTACCATAACGTGGAACGAACTTGGTTGGAAAAATCTCGTTTATGAAGGTTGAATGAACGGGCGCTGTAATGTTATTGTATGTAATAAGTTGTGAAAAGTAAACACTGTAATGGGTGCTGTAATGTTGAAATCAGGCGATAAAATGTGGTGTAATCCTCAACCTGTAATCAGACAATAAAATGTGATATAATCCTCAACCTGTAATCAGACGATAAAATGTGACATAATCCTCAACCTGTAATCAGACGATAAAATGTGATATAATCCTCAACCTGTAATCAGACGATAAAATGTGACATAATCCTCAACCTGTAATCAGACGATAAAATCCTCAGCCTGTGATCCTCCCAGATCGTTTTACCCTTGACTGTGTTATGATTAAGGATTCTGCTGCCAATGAACTTTATGAAAAGTGATTATCATCAACACATACCGTATAATCTGAATGTTGCCCTTGGTTTATTTTCGCACGCGTCTCGTAACATATGCATAGGTTAGCTCCATATATAGATAGATATTTATGCTATGTATTTTGACATTTTCTAGCCCTACAGTTAGGAATATTGTCAAATGGAAAATTAGGTGCGTGTTCTTCTATCGAGTACTTAAAATCATAGAAACATTTTCTCTCTCTTGTTTTTTTTCTTGTTGTTATCAATAGGTGAAGTTTCCAGGGAGGTAGGTAACGTATCGACCCACACTTCATTGAACAATTTGGTTATATTTCTGCCGACCCCCACCCCCCTACGGTAATGTGTGTGGAGGAGTGGGATTGAATGCAACATGCCTCATAAAGCACTGGAATTGACGTAAGTTCTACATTTTTGTGTAAACCAAAATAAACAGGGCTAGAAACACATAAGACACATTTTATAGTTGCACGTGTATCAGAAGCTTTTATGCGACCACCAAAATGGAGGAAACCGCTGAAGTTTATTTTAACTTTCAAGACTCGTTTTTTTTTATATATATACTAGATTTGAGAAATTGTAAGAAGGAGATATACAGAGAATGGGAAGTTTAAAAGTCTAATTATTTAAATCAACTTGATACTAAAATGGTTAACTTTGACGTCTATACCTATTTCATTTTAAACTCAAAACTTAATCATTTCAACCTCCTGTACAATTGACGTTAATATCATGAGAGGCAGATCACAACGTGTAAGACAATCAGACTTTGGATTATTCAGAACCCTTGAAAAAATTATTACACGTATCTACTGATCACTCGTTCGAGTACTTCACATGCTGTGCGATAATAATTTCCATTCCATTTTCTTTACAATCATTCATACTCTGATTATTTATTATATTGTATAGCAGATACAGTAAACGAAACAACATAATGTTTTCAAATTCGATGACGAGGAACCCACTTTGAGACTAATAATGGCTGGAGACGGCTTGAGTGGGTAATGAAGAA